GGGGAAGAGGCAGGTGCTTTGTAATTTGCTGGAAAATCAACCAAATCCATCAGAGGAAGGAGTGAAGTGCATTCCCTTACTTGGAATTTAACACTTCACTTATTACCAGGCAAACATGGGCTCCCAGACAGAAAATCAGTTTGTTTGAACGTGTGGGAGAAAATGTTGTAAATATTTCCTTGGGTTTGTGTTTTTCAACAGTGTGCCCTGTTTAATAAATTAGTTGTTTGATCATACTTCTCTTTAGTTCCCATCTAGTTAGATTATAATGTGCCTGTTAAAATCTGCTTGTAAAAAGAAAAACAGAATCAAACACTTCCCTGTGCTTCCCAGTTCCTCCTATAGCAGTGTGCTGGTGATCAAACCCAAGCATTCCCTACATGGATTCCATAAAATCAGAAATATGGACTTGTAGTTCATAGCCCAGGGTGATGCACACATGGACCCTTGTCCAGATCAGACCCAGGAATACATCATTATTATTATTATTATTATTATTATTATTATTATTATTAATGCTCTATTCTGCCAATGTCTCACACAGCTGCAGGAATGCAAACACAAATGGCAAATATCCAGTGCTTACCTTTAGTGGTTCCTCAAAAGCCACTCTAAAAGTGCTGGAATACCAAGAGGAAGTGAGAAGAGTCGAGCCCTGGTGCCCCCGTGCCCACATTGGCTGCCACAGGTGGTGCCAGCCCTGCTGGGGGCACGGGACAGCAGCAGACACCCAGGGGCACTGGGATGCCAGAGGTCACCTACTCCCAGCTGCTTTGGGACTTCTTTGGAAAGGGCTTCAGACAGGGAATACTCTTGGGCTGGAACTCAGTGCCAGATCAAGCCAGTCACAAGCAATTACGACTCCATTTCATTCCAGTAGATAGCAAACTATAGATGCACCTGCATTTTCTTCCTCCTTCTCCTTCATTTCCCCTTTTGTCCTCTCCTTTAACTACTGTTTATGCACCCTCTTCCTTATCAGTACAGCACCTCAGCGAATCACCACCTGGTTTTCTACAGAGGTCACAATGTTTACCCTCTTGGTTTTGGCATAAAACAGCTAAAAACTTCCAGCATTGCTATTTTGAGTCAGAGTGTCAGCCCTGGTTCTCCCTCATGGATGAACAGCCTCAAATATGTGCCTTTCTGAAACCTCAGTTTGATGCACAGAGCAGGAATTCGGCGTTGTGGGGAATTTCATTCCTGCTTTTCTTCCCAATCTGCGCCTGCAATGCACATCCGTCCCGCATTTCACAAACTCTCCTGCAAAGGTGAAGCTGCTAAAGCACATCTCTGGGGCTGCAGGATTCCCAGAGTGCCCAGATCACACTGAACAAGGCAGAGCTGCTTCTTACCAACACCTCCTCACAGGTGCGTCTCTGCAGAGATGGAGAGCCCTGCCCAAAGCACTCGGACAAACGCTGCAAATCAACCCGTGCGTGTGAGGAGGGGGGAAATGAGGGACAGGGAATTCAAGTAAAAATATTTTCTGATTATTACCTACCCTGAGCTCCCAAAATCAAAGCAGAAAAGAGTTTCATTCCAAAGTAGCTGTAAAGCTGCATCAGTCCAAGAAATCTGCTGTCTAAATAATTGTTTTCTCTAGGGGTTTTGTTGAATTCACGGTGCTGAGTACGGTTTTATTTGTTGGTAACTTTCCTCACAGTGTAGCATTATTTCATTTTGGCCTCTATCAAATATAACTTCTGATAGAGAATTGGTGAATTAAAGTTTGAAATTATTTGAGAAGACAGGAAAATCTGTAATCAGAAGCATTTTACCTTTACAAATGAGATTATCTGACAGCCATTCACCTCATACCTGGCCTGCTTGGCTAACTCCTAAAGCAACAATATTGTATGAGCACAACTGAATCAATCTAAGCTGGGAAAAAAAGGGAAGGAACTTCTGGGCTCAGGGCCTGAGCACTGGAATGAGAATTCCCTCCTTTTTCCCCAGGTCTTCAGTGGCAGGAGGAGTCCTGGACTAAACTCCCCAATTCTAATTCTCCTGGCTGACAGTCCTGATGCACTCCCCAGTTCTAAAAATTGAAAGTTAATTTTTCTCCCTCTGACAGATGGAGAAAGAGCTGAAAAAAAATCGGTGTAAGTGCAGAGCTGTCATCAATGTCAGGAAAAGCCTTCGAGAGCTGTTGTTCTTAGGGCCAAGATTAAGCTCCTTGTTCCCAAATTCACTTCATGCTTTGGCTTTCCTGAGCACTCATGCAGCCATTTCCCTGCAGCACTCCCAGGAGCATTCCCACCTCCAGGCTTCCCGGCCAGGCAGGCAGGAATGAGAGCCCTGGGGGCTGCTCAGCCCCTGGGGCAAGGGATGCAAACTGTGCCTGGGGAGCAGGCTCCTCACTGCCAGTCCAGATTTACATCCACCTGCACATCCAAACATCCCAGCGGGAATCCAGAGCTGCATCTCGGGATTTCAGGTGAGAATAAAGAAAGCTGTTACATTCAGACCGTTATTGTTCATGCTGCTTTGTGAATTTATTTCTTTAAATTTTCCACTTGTGCTCCTGCCAAGAGAGATCTATTAGACAGAAAGCAGCAAGAGTAAATCTTTATCATTTTGTTTCAAACTATAAAATAATTTACATCACATATTTTACTTACTTTTGTCTTTTTTGTTTGTTTTTTTTTTGAAACCACAAACATTCCAGCATCACACTGTAGGAATAAGAATAACAATAGAAAGCATAACCTTTTGCATAGTATTAAATGAACAGACAGAGTAAGTTCTTTATTTACAATTATTGTCTAGATAAAAAAATTCATAAAAACAGATGAATGAACATATATTAATAACCCCTAGTGGGATGGATTGCCAATGTACCACTGTATTGTTGTCCACAAATCTCATGCTGCTAAGTACAGTACGTAGAGAGCGAGCATTTATATATTGCAGGGAATTTTAACAAACTGATCATTTTGGTTTTTGATCCATTGTTCCCATCACAGAGAGGTCAAGCAATAAAAGAAAGGAATTGTGATGCACGACTTGTAGTTGAAAGGTCATAGCTATTCTGCTTTAAAAAAAAAAAAAAGTCTATCATTTATCATATACATAAAGCACAGTCTCTGCTCACAAAAGCCCAAGTTTTCTATGCATCTCAGTTTATATATGTTTTACTATATATACACAGAATGCAGTGTTCGTTTTCTTAACAGTTTTCAAGTCTGCAAATGGTACCTTAGGGAGGGGTACTCCTACAGGAAAAAATTCAAAAATTAAAAAAAAAAAAAATGGAACCGAGAAAAACCATGAAAAGTGTTGGAAAACAAAAAGGCAAACAGTCAGTGTGTTAAGATGCTGAAAAGAAACTGTTCCAGTATTAATAGCTTCTGTAGATGTTCAAGTCCAAAGCTAGAGGCTTCCCTGTAAAGAGATACCACTTTTTTCTTCTGGCCAGAGATGCCCAGAGGCCCAGGGAGCCAATCCGTGGTGAACAGGGGAGTCCCCAGTCACAGAGCACCTTCCTGCCTGGCGCCCGTCCCTGGCTGCTGGGGCACCCTGCCTGCCCCCGGGGCTGAGGGTGAGCCACAGCCAGCAGAGCTCCCAGCCCCGAGTCCGGCAGCTGGCAAGGGGAGCTGCTCGGAGCTTCACCTGGCTGAGAGTCCTGATGCGCCCTGACAACATCGGGGTCAGTCTGCAGTTTGGCCATGAGTCTAAGCTCAGTTTGGAGAGTTCTGGCTTGGTTAAGCTGCTGTGACTGCAGAGATGCACCACTGTATGGAGCCAACTTTAGGACAACCAGAAAAACACCTTAACAACTCAACAGATCGAGGTGGTTGGAGGGTGTTTGGTTCCAACACGCCTGGCATTATCAATTGTGTAATTCCAAATGTCTTTTGCACTGTACAGTTATGGAAAAAATCATATGCTGAAAAGTCTCCAAGCAAACTTTATATTAAATACAAAAATTATTTATGAAAAATCTGTGATCCACAAAGTGCTTAGCATTCAAGTGGTTGACATAGCAATTGTATAAGCTCGTAATTTTTACGTTTCTAGGGCTGTTACCATCTTGAAAAATGTTTTTCGCCTTCCATACTGCAGGTTTTCAAAGCAGCTTTCTTGGGAGAAAGCTGAAGGTAAAATAATGTATTACTGTGTTACTGCAGGAACACAAGCTTGATTTTAAAAAAATCACACAAATCACATCTCAATACACAATTAATAAAGATTCGTTCAGTCCTAATAGTGCAGAAATTATATTTTTCTTTAAAAAAAATCAAAACAACAACCTACAGTGATTTCATCCAAAATGCCAACAGCCCATACCTTGCAAATAATAAGGAAATAAATGCCTAAAGTACTAATTGAAAAGGATTAACACAGTATATCACAAAATTTTAACATTTCTTTTATCTCCATATAGACAAACCAAATATAACTTATTTTAAATTATAAACTCATTTAATGTCTCTCTAAAAATAGTTTCCGAAGCCATTGCGGTATGTCTGAAGAATGAAATAGCCTCCATTATTGTATGTTGCACCAAAACGAGTTCAAGCAGATTATCAGAGGGAAGGAAGGAAAAAAAAAAAGGAGAGAACCTGATCATTCTGATTTTTATTTGAAACAAAGGAAGCCTGGTTTACCTCCCTGTATATAGGATCACAATGCTACATCCAATGTGTTATATTTTGGCTTCTTTTGTTATTTACTAGCAGTATCTACATTATTAACAAAAAAAAAAAAAAAAAAAAAAAAAAAAAAAAAAAAAAAAAAAAAAAAAAAACAAAAAAAAAAAAAACGGAAAAAATAACCCAACAAACTACTCAAAAAAACCCTCAAGTCTGACTTTACAACAATGCTTCAGACCAGAATACAAGTTTTTAAAGAAATAATACAAAGTTTTCTCACATGACCCTCTAAATAGTTTAAAATACAAGGTTTTATTTGATGCTTAAATTACTGACTCACATTTTTCAGCTCAAAGCAGCTACGACATTTAACAAATTAAAAAAAAAAAAAAAAAAAAAAAAAAAAAAAAAAAAAAAAAAAAGAACCCAAAAACTAAATCAGGCAGAAATCAGAGCACGGTTGTAATAAAATATCCAGGGTGTGAGAGTACAGACATTTTCAATGAGCTGAGCTGAGCCATTTTTATACTACTTCGGCAGGAAGTGCTTTCTTAACCCTACAAATAGTTAAGGATATTATCTACAGGTTTGTAAACAAATTACATTCTTTTTTAGGACATAAATAAGTTAAAATAGTCAGAGCAATTTGAGCAGAAACAAGGCAACATGCCAACAAAGAAACTTTATATATATATAACTATATATATATAGATAGATATATACATATATATAATTAATTATCTATATACTTATATGTATATATCTCTATATATAGTCTCATAAATGTTTAAGTTCCTCTGTCCAACTGGTGCAAATCTACTGTGCAAGTTAAGCTTTGCAACTTCAAAAAAGTTATTTAAATTAATCTATACAATTGAGTCCATGCCACACAAGCATTTCAAAAACTCACAGACCAGTGAATTGGATAAATAGCCTCAGAAAGAAGTCCTCTGCAGTTCCTGCTTAAGGAGGAAAAAAAAAACAAAAAACAAAAAACAAAAAGAAAAAAAACCAAAAAGGAAATAAAAACAAACAAAAGGAGAGAAAGAAGGGCCAGCAGTGTACAGTACATTCATGCAGGAGGATTTTTTTTTTTGTTTTTGTTTTTCTGAAAGGGAACGGGGGGGTATGTAAATCAGCCATTCATTCTTTCCCCAAAACCATTGTGATCAACAATTCATTCACTTGTCTCAGAGTGAATAAGAGTTCAAACAGCTTTTCAGCCAGCAATGTTTTTAATATATATATTTATATATCTCGGTTGCTGTGGGGTTTCTTATTTTATTTTACTTTAACTTTTTATATTTCTTTTTTTGTTTTTCTTTTTGCAGTGACCTTTTCAGCTAAAGTGATGTCTCCAGGCTATGTATTGGGCTTCCTGGACTAGAAGAGGTAGCTGATTTACTTGTATCAGTTGTAAGATTGATTCCACTGTCGATAGCACTGTTGTTCTTGTTCAGCGAGGACGGTGGACTCGAGTTTTTCTTGAGAGCAGGGTCTTCTTCTAGGTCTGTGTCATCAATGAGTGGGATGTGGGGCTGGGAATCTTCTATCCTAAATTCAGGATGAGTCATAAAGTTGTGAATAGAGGTTCTAGATTCTGGTTTTTCTAAACCTTCATAGAGAGAGCTACGGAATGCCTTCACGACGCGGATCTGGGGGGAGAAAAGGAAAGGGCTGTCAGAGGGCACGGCCCCAGGGCACAGCGGGGCAGAGAACACTTGGTGAAAAATGTAGCACATGGTTAGGGCAGTGCAGGCAGCTGGAGTCCAAAGTCTCTGGATGTTATATGCATAAACGAGTGGCTCAGTTATGTGCATTTTGAATGTCTGTACCGACTGCAATATTAAAATAAACCAAGGTTTAAAGCCATCAAAGAACTGATGGGGAGGAGTGGTTAAAGAAAGCCAAGGTCCACTCGTGTGGTACATCCCTAGTAAAAGACAAGCCATGTTAATTGTAATGCAAATGTCAAACCATGCATGTTGATAGTTTGGTGGGTTTTTTTTTTTTTTTTTTTTTTTGCAGTGAGTAAGTAGAAAGGCTTTTTTAAAATTAAAAAGTCTCTTTTGTATTGTTGTTAAAAAAACCATTACACATAACATATCACACTTCACAAACAGAAAAGCACGGAACACGGACACGGTTGGATGGGTACGTATGAGACACACACAGGAGCCAAGTGTGAAAACTAGAATATCAATGTTTTAAAGCAAAATCTAAATGGATGCAGCCAAGAGCACAAAAAGCCAAGCAGACAAAGTACTAAGCGCAATCATGCTACCACAGGGGAAAAAAAAAATAAAAAAATCACAGTTACCACATGAACAGAGATAACTTGCACACAACAACTACACTTGGAAGCCTGGATAATGTGAACATAGTATCGTTGAACCAACTTTTATTTGTCCTTCATGCAGATGTGAGGTAAACACTCGAGTATAGACCCACTGTTCTAGCCATTCAGCTTGTTAATAAATAGAAGAACATGAAGTAAAATAATGGATTGGTTGTTGGGTTGAATTGAGTCCCATTGTTAACAGCGAGCTCTTTGGATTTGGTGTCTCAGTCGTGCACTTAAATGCTGAAAGCCACATGATGTATGCCATATATGCAGTCTTTAAAGCAGGTCAGTGACCTGTGCCAGGGGCCACCTAATGCCAGAAACCACCTGGCAGTAAGAAGAGAGGTGAAAATCAACTCAAGACTCAGCCCAGCGATTCTCAGGGATGGTGCCCACCGTTTTCCCAGTAGGAAAGGGGAGGAGCAGAGTGAGGAGTGGGGACACTACATCCTCTATGGGTGGACAAAGGGATGGATGCTCTCTAGTCCCAGGGACCTACCAGTTCTCAAAAGAAGTGAAGGGTTGTGCTGGGTTACTGCTGAAAAAAACCAGAACTTTTTGGAAGGGGGTGGAGGGGCAGAGAGGAAAAAACAGAATGGCAAAACGTGATCTGTTTGCAAATGTTTCATGACTAAGTATGAGTTCTATCCCTCTACTTCCATGTAGTCCATGAGCAAACCTTGAGCATTTCTCAGGGGGGAGAATAAAACACAGGCAGAGGCAGAAAAGGTGCAAGCAGGTACTGTGAAAGCTTCTCCACACACATTTGAAATGGTTTGGTGGTTGGCATGTGGATCTTTTTACATGTAAATATGCTGCACATTGTTGGTTGGCCTGATACACCACTGCTTTGGAAAGCTTTAATTCCTCTTTTCCTTGGCAGACTGCACTTCAGTAATGGCACAGGGCCACAGGGTTCCAGCTGTGGGGTCCAGCTGATCCCATGCTTGGAACTGGCCAAGTTGTACAGAATTTCAGCACATTTGAGGAGGAGGGTGACTTGGTTTGGTTTTTTGTCTCTTTGATCTTGGTCCTTGTTTATGGTCTCTAAATTTGGATATTCACCATTTTTTAAAAATCTTAACAGCCGAAGTCCTGCCACGTTCAGATCATTGGGCCAGCCCAAATACTCTCCCTTCCCTTCACAGGTACATTTGGTAACAGCAGGGCACAGTACAAAAAGTAGTTCATGTGACTGTTTATGCTCCAGGTGAGAGGATTGGAGTGGCACAGAACGGCTCAGCCAGACCTTGGGGTATGAGAATGTTTTAGGTTGGCAGAGGTGCAACAGGGAAGATTGTCTTGCCCAAAAAAAAAAAAAAAAAAAAAAAAAAAATCAACAAAATAAATTTCAAATCAGTTTTACCCACTGCAATCACACAGTGTACCTAAGAGAGCTCCTGGAATTAAAAACCAGGGATTTATGAGAGCTGAATCTGAGCAGTGTGAGGGCTCTGTAGAGTCAACAGAGTGGGGTAAGGAATGAATCTGCATTGCTAAAAACAGAAAAGGTGACAAATACCTTCACTGTTTATGCCCTCCTAGCTTGTCTTTTCAAGTGCAGAGTAATTAGTTTAAATGATGAAAACAATTGTATGACTGTTAAGACAGCCTTAAAACCACATACCCATATTGGCCTATTTAAATGAGGAAACTTTTTCTACCCTGGGTATTTTATAGTATGGGCTGATGAGGTGACATTTCTGCAAACGTCCCCATTATTTCTGCTTTCTAAACACAAATACCAGTCACCTCTTCAGCTGCAGCTGGATGCTAGAGCTTATCAATTAACGAGATAATTCTATTTTCTTGGAAACAGCCAATTTCTATGACATAGACTTAGGTTCTATTTGTCAGCTGGATTTTTTATACTGAAGGTAAATTTTTACTTAAATAAAAGAGTTTGATATTATCCTGAACAGATCCAGCAGAATCCAAAGAAAGGAAAGCTTTTCTTCATCACACAAACTGTATTTAACTCTCCATGATTTAGCAGGGGAGGAACTGATGTCAGTTTGTAAGTTCCATATCCCACAGTAGGGAAAGAATCTGTATTGCTTTAGTACCAACATTAATCTTGGATTTCATTCCAAGCTCCTCGTCAGTCCAGGGAAAACTGCAGATTCCAGCTGTGTTTGACAGGCAGCTCTGCAAACGTGCCTGCCATGACCTGGATTTGGGGCTCTGCAGTGGCTCTGGAATTAATTCATTAATGAGCCATTGCTCATTATAATGAGCAATGACTTTTAGCTGCATGGTCTGAAGATAGAACTGCAGCCTCTCACTTTGGGTGAAGGTGTGTGGCAAAATTTTTGGCCTGGACTGTTTGGGTCTTGAAAGAACATTGAGATGTTTCTGGAATGGCTTCTACTTGTAGACACTGGTTTGTACTGGAAATATTAGCTTAGATTATTAGCTTCAGCTCTGCTGACACCTAAGGTAGGTCACCCTCTGAAGGCAGTGGTAATGGAAGGGCCAAACTGGGCAAGTCCCTCAAGCTGACAATAAATCAAATTAAATTTCTAAAGAGTTTTCTTCACAAGGGAGTTGTAGGAACCCATAACTTCACTTAAAATCTCTCTACAGAGATGTATATTAGTTTTCCACTGATTTTTCACTTTAGAAGAAACTCCCTCCTCAGCTTAAAATTTTGCATACTGAGCTTGGCATCCAGAAGAAAACATTTATTTTTTTAATGTCACACATCATTCAGTGACAGAATTTCTGCATTGCAATAAAATTCAAAATCTCCTTCAAGGCCTGTCCCCCAATGGATCAAATTATTGCTTGCAGGGACAAAACTTAGTGGAAACAAAGGCAGAGGGTTTGTTGCATGTAAAGGTGACATTTTTGTTTCTCTACCGTAATACTACAATATTTAATCTACCTATTATAGCTGATACAACTCCCAGATTTAAAAAGATTATTTACCCAGAGTTACGTGGCCCAACAGCAACAAGTTCTTTTAATACATGCTTAAATTCAAGGTTTTAGGTAATATCTGGTGTAAAAACATTTTGGGGCTCTGCTGAAACAAAGCCCAGCCAGTTTTATTTTGAAGATAAAATCAAGCAGATGAACTTGGGATGTTGTTATGGCTGTAAAAGCATGGAAAAGCAGGGACATCCGTGATGGATAGAACCTGGGAAGTGTTGGTTTAGTATGAACTATGTAAGTTCATGTAATGGTGTTTCTTTATGAGACTGACAATGCCAAGGGAAGACAAACAGTGAGATACAGCTCCCTTTTCTCACAGTAATGGAGACAACAGAAAAAAATGAACTGCTTTTAACAAAAGACTGTGGGGACAACACTTCAGGACATTTTTGACATTGCTATAAGTTTCCACTTCTTTCTTCTCTGGAGCTGTAACAGAAAAAAACTCTTCAGCTTCATCCCACCTTGGAAGTCAGATTTATTATACTGCATCAGGCAAGAAAAAAAACAAAAACAAAAACAAAAAAAAAGAAATAGAATTTTAGATACTACAATTTTTTTCCCATCAGAAGAAAAAGGTGATATTCAGAATGTCAGTCCTAAGTACAACCATCTAGGCAAAATCTCCAAAGCCTGGTAAGCACCAAGAGCTGTGTTCTGGTTGGTAGTGTGTGGGCTTATACTCGAATGTTTACCTGGCTTCATCTAAGCCAAGTATCTGGAGTTTGGTTCACATTCATTTCAGGCTCAAGGTTAAAGACTCACAACCTCTTTTTATTTCACTCTCTCCTGCTGAACCCTTTTGTCCAATGTTCTCTAGCCCTCTGGGAAAACAAACACATTTAATATTCAGACAGTAGAGAGTAGGGCACTGTAACAGCAAATAAATTCAATACTGAAAGGTCAGTAAGGTGATTAGTATAAAATTGTAAACAAGAGGTCAGTTTTGCAAAGAGATGCCAACTCTTAGGTGTAACTGAAACTATTCTAGGCCAAGACTAAACTGTACAAAGGTAAAGGAGTTTGATCAAGGACTATTGCATATGGAATGCTTTGAAATAGAAAACATCTTCAGTATATTGGGATTTCTTTTTGAATCCTCCCAGTTTTAGGTGAGTAAAATCAGATTAGGTCTCCACAAAAGATGCTTCTTGAATTGGGGTCACCTGTAAATGTTGTGCCTCCTATATTCTGGGGACTAGGATGCAGAAGTTGAGCAAATTCAAACATAAAGTCAAAAAAAAAATATGTATAAAAATTAGAAATTCTAGTTTTCTGCTTTAACGAGTGAAACAGATGCATAACATTATCTGTGCTGCTCTCTTCCCACATAAAGATGCAGCAAATCCTGCAAGGGCTGCTCAAAATTCAAAC